GATGGGATGGTGTGGGGCTGATCAATTTTCGGGCGGTTTGGTTCCCACCCAGTAACCGGTTCTTGCACATCACAGTCTTCTATCTTCTGTTCATTAGCATGAACTACCAGTTTTCATGGATTGAAGTTAGGACTGCAAGATGATGCTCTTCTATGAGATTGATTTCAAACAAGGTAGAGACCGTATTTATAAAAACCGAAGGAGCAAGAATATGACTGAAAGAAAAACAAAAATGATTAGGAATGGAAACGAACCAGCTGGGCCATTCACAATCTAAGATAGAAATGAATTGGGAACCATACCGGTGCCTCCAAGAACTGCCCAGAACCGGTCGGGCCGGGTGGTTTCCAGTTCGGACGGATCCTTTTGCTCACTCCTAGGATGGTGTGTAGAAGGCGCTCTAGTACTAAGTGTTTACTTGTGTAGAATGAGGTGTGATGTCGATATTCTTGGCTCTAGAATCGAGTGCAAGATACCATTTTGATTATCGATATAACTTTACCTGGCCTTATTAATACGGTTGACTTTATCTAGTATGCGGAAATGATTAGAGACTGCACTACTTATAACAAATCTGCATTGTAATAAAGATATATTTCCTCTTCCACATATTCACCAACTGTAAATATAAAATGTAAATAGGAAATTTTGTATTCGTACATCTTTTGTTTTCTATTGCACTATATTTTCCTTTAGGTTAATACCACGAAAACCTCAAGTTGATATACCTGCGACAAATTTACCCAAAATTAATTTTTTTACCATTAAAAATCACAAATTTGTACACTTGTGATATATTTATCCTAAACTAAATTTTTGACCACCAAAAATTTTAAACTGGTACATTTGTGACAATTTTACCCTTCGTTAAATTAGATTAATATCATGAAAAATCACAAAATAGTACATTTGTGACAGACGGAGGGTAAAACTCCAAATTGGTACATCTATCATCTGCCACTTGTTATCCAATTTAGAAATTTGAAGGTAAAATTTAACGGAAACTAACATAAGGTAAAATTGTCATAGGTGTACCAGTTTGGGGTAGTTTGGGATAAATTTATCACAAACGTACCTATTTAGGATTTTTCGTGATATTTAACTCTTTTCCTTTTATATATTTTTACTCTTTTTTTTATATCCTATTGGCGCTCAAAATCGACCACGGACATTGACTGAGCCGAAGGGAAGATTTTAGATCGGGGCGAGTCAAGGCAGACCAAAGTGATCAGTGGAAGATTAGTCAGTGCACTCGTCATGACAATATCCTTTGATTCCGTACTCTTTATTTCCGGTTATTTCCAACAGTTTATTTATAGCCATCCCAGTTGTTCACATACTTTTGTCAATCAAACACTTGCTCTTACTCTTTGAAAAATATAAAGGCTGTCATCAATGGATTCATTTGATTAGTATTACAACTCAAGCATCAATTTATCGTCTTCTTTCCCGGTGCATGATCGTTTGTCAATATCGAAGCGCAAGTGACCTGTGATTTTTTGTTAGAACACATGAGTCGGGGCGAGGTAATTTCCATTGTCAAGTCGACTATCAAGTCAACTATTTGAGGAGAGCCAATGTCAAGCGAAACATATCCACTCTTTTTTTTTTTTTTAAAAGTAGATGTAATGAGAAAGGTAGAGGTTTCTCGAAGGGAAAAATGCATTGAAAGTTTTATAACTTATCACGAAAGTGCAAAAACTTTCAAAAAGTGATGTCAAGTCCTAAAACTTGTCAAATTAGTCCAATCAAATCCTTCCGTTGATTGCAACTTTTTGAAAGTTTGAGGACTTAATTGTACTTTCGCGACGAGTTTTAGGACTTAATTGTACTTTTTGAAAGTTTTATGACTCATTTATTCTCCAGTAATAAATTTTAGTATTTTTATTGCACTTATCCCGTTTCCCAAATGTACAAACTGCGACCATCTTCTTGTACAAACTATATTAGCTTACTAGCACTCAATCACAAATCTGAAAACTTCTGATTAGGGGGGGAACCGAGGAGCATCATTTGGCTCACCTTTCATTGGTGCTGCTTTTCAATGTCCATTATCATTGAAGCGAAGAAGTCAAGTGCTGCTTTCATTTGGACGTGGGGGCCAAAGCCACTTTTGTTCAATCACCACATTCCATATCCTCCAACCCCCAAAGCGCGCACTATTTCATCTTTTTGCCGGCCCCCACATGTCTCATACAATGATTGCATTTTGGGAACCTTTAGACAAAAGGGCAAAATTCCCATATCGGACAAAGGTCATTGAGGCATGTGAAGAGGCAGTGACTTTGGGATATTAGCTGTCTTTAAAGGGTGTTTTATGTTATTTTTTAGGATTTATCACAAATTCACAATCACCGATTAAACATGAAAGATATCGAGACTACATGTGTTTATTTTGAGCAAAACTTCGTGATAAAGAAAAATACTTTCATGAAAATCATTTTTTTCAAAAAACTGTTTTTCCTTTTTTAGGTTTAGAAATTCATTTCCTTAATTTTAAGCATGCAAATCATAAATGATTTTTCATTAACTGATCGTTTTCAGCAAACCAAACGCGTGAAAGTTCTAAAAACTAATTCTTGAAATTTTTTTTCACTCAAACAGACAACACACCCTAAGGCTCCATTCAAATAACCACTTATATCATTTAAAATAATTAGTCAATAGATTATTTTTTTATTATAGACAACAATTTAAATATTTTCATGGACAATGAATTTTTTTTCGTGCATATTGTAAGCAATACAAGTTATTATTTTTAGGAAAATATTTTTCAAATCATTCATTTTTCACGAATTAAATTCATCTTAAGTGAAAATGAGATCGATGTCTATCATGAGTCCTGGCAATGCCAAATACATATCTTCCGAGAGGACTTAAAACTTTTTCATAACTTTCCATCTATTCTAACACTTACCTATGCTTTTATACATTGAATTTCTTAAACTAATGATCAATCTCAAAATTGTAGTTTTTGCACCACATAAAGTGAAACAATTATAGTGAGGAACTAAATGGTGCTAAATATATTGACTCAATAGGGACTTAGGTAATTGTTTGGTGTAATAACCCGAAATGTTTCACGTAAGCCAAGCCGTCAATTGGAGTACTTTGAGTATTTATGCAAGGCGATGCCCATTTGAGGTGGGTGCTAATTTATATAACATTCAACACGGCATCTCTCATCCAATATGAAATTTTGAGATGTTACCACCAATAATATGATGATGGGCTGAATCAAAGTGGAATTCAAATCATGTTTTTTGCTTTTTATGTTGGTTATATGTGTCTGAACAATACCAATGAATGTTTACAAAACAAATTTAGTCATCCTCAGAATGCCAAAGTAGGAGGATATGAATCATCCTTCTAGTTCTAACGTATCCTTTTTAGCGATTCTGAACCATTTTAGCATCGAATGGAGTATGCATCCATAAGCAAATCGATCTTCAAAAAGAAAATTCGAATATGACAAGATATACACAACGCGATGAATATTAATTTGACTCTACGAATTATGACTACTCAAATCAATTTGATAAATTTCGACAATTATCTTATTCAGATTTGTAATCAACTTCATCTTTCAAGTCATCTCAGTAAAACCCGCACGATGATTCCAAAAGATCATGATTCAATAGGATTGAGCCACTTGAATGAAACTAGGTCGCTTCCCACAGATATAAAGAACAAAAGGGAATGAACAAAAGTATAGGGGCCCCTCCTATCCACCCACTCAGATTGAAGAAGATCTGAGACCCTTTTCTTCCCCCATATTTTCCTACGTAGAGCATGATAATGGCTGTCTTTACTTCGATGATTATGACACAGAGGAAGACGGGTGACCACGATGGATCTCGTCATCATTTGACCTATCAGCTTATAGTTAATAGCCTCTGAATCTCACGTATACAAAAATAATTTAGCAAAAAAAGTATTCACAACATTAACTCAGGGTCAGTTAAAATATATTTCTGAATATTTTATAGATAACGTAGGCTATAAATTTCGAGTACGCTTGTCTATAGTTTTTTTACATTTTTTTAATGAGACTAACTAATGTGGAAAGTAAACTAGCTCATGTGCATAATTATTCGTGCCATCACCCAAATCAGCATCTCTCTGTCTCCGGTTTTTCAATTTTAAAGTTGGAAGGTATTGAATATGACTCACTTATTTGAGTATTTGATTACACCGTTACATTATTTAAAATACAAAATGAAGAAAAATGACATTAAAGATTGAATCGTGTGATGGACCTCGACCCTATTTGATTAGAGGGAAAAGATTCTCAGTTGTTGTAATTTAAGAATTTTGCAATTAGAAAATCCTTGGTTTCTTCTTCTCTCCTCTGTCTAGTGCCCTGCCCTTATTGTGTATTGCCACATCCCAATCAGCACCATCACACCACACCCCACCCACACCCCGCCCCCCCCCCCCCCCCCCCGCGGGCGGCGGGGCCTCCACGGACAATACCACACTTGGAGAGCTCTAGAGGTGGTGTGGCATGACTAGGGACAAACACTTACATGTACTCTGTATTCCAAGATTAATTTATAGCGTTGGTGGGTATTGAGTAACGAACTTCACACGTTTCAAAGGAAAAAGAGATCAAAGATCAGTGTTCAAGCGCATAGTTTGCATTTGCTTGATCGATAGTGACATCTGCGTGCTGCATGCAACTACGATCAAATACCCCATTTTTCAACGCCCATCCATTCAAAGTTTGACTCTCTTTCTTCCACCACACTTTGCCTGCAAAGTCTTTTTACAGATGACAAAAAGAATTGAAAAAGCTTTGCCAAAGGTCACAATGTCAAGCCCCACACATCACAGAAAAGCTACCTCCACAGAACACACTACATTCCCATTCATTTACCTCTCTAATCTTCTCTCTCCATAATCTTCTTGGATACACTAGCCGACCCCCATTAAACAGCCCTATGCTTGTACGTAGTCATAATAATCAATGATCACATAATGTAGGCTACTAGAACTTAATATATACTTCACCAAGTTTATATATATCCTCCAGAAGTTGGAGGACTCACATGCACTTTCTGCAACTAGCCACTTTCTTTCAAAGTATAAACTGATGGGCTTCATCTTCATCACAATCCTCAAAAGCTGAACCCAGAGAGAGAGAGAGAGAGAGAGAGTGCATGCAGCATTTACTCTAAGATGCTGGCAATCTTAGCAATTCCCGCATGTCAAGCTTTTCTTCTTCCCTTGGCTGCTCATGAACCCGGCGAGGTGAACCAAATTCAAGGTCACAAGAACGTTCGCCAAAATCTTCACAAGGTACGTCCTTTTCGATTGTGTTTGCGTTCATTCGAGCTGGACCCTTTCATTCCCTGCGACCTCTGATCTTCCGGGAGTTAAATTCGATTGCAGTTGCTTTGCTTGATCATCTCTTCTTTTTGTAGATGAATGCGAAGATAAACAAGGACATAGCAGTGCACGGGCTCCTGCTTTGGTCGTCAATGGGTTTCTTGATGCCTCTCGGAATACTCGTAATACGATTGTCCATTAGAGAGGAAAACCGCGCACGGGCCAAAGCGTTCTTTTTCATTCATGTCATCTTGCAGGTAACAGAATTATTCATTAAGCTGCATTATTGTCATTCTACATGTTGTTAAGATATTATGGTCAGTGATTTGTGAAGAACAAGAAGTCTTTCCTGAAAAAAACAATGTGTAAGAAAAGTTGTTGGAGGACATGAAAATGCTTTCAGTTTGCATAGAATAGGATCGTAGGGTCCTAAAGAAGTTGATTTTTGTGTAGACATCATAACCACCAGGGAGGTGTCCAATGACTCTAATCATGGTGTCTGCTTCTTTTTCAGCGTTTTGTTCTTTTTAATTGTGGAAAACGTTTCTTGATTCTTTATAAGCCATTCCCCAATAATGAGTGCTTGAATTACAAGAAATACTATTGGAGAGGAATGAACTCGCGGTGGTGACACTAAAGTTACTGATTTTCACTAAAGTTGGGGCACTCCATGAATGATCAGCACAAATCCATGGACCCTATATTCAAAGGGAATCTACAGGTGCTATATATATAACAAAAGATTATATAACTAAGACACTCATCTTGAAAAGGTAAACTTCGAGAATATAAAAAACCCTGTTAGAATATTTATAAAATTAAGTCACTCGTTCATTTAACAGCTTAAAACTTTAAGAATAGTTGGTAGGATCCCATGAAAAATGTTCTGATATTAGAGTAAGAGATCACGAGTTTAAATCTTTTGGACCCCTTATTTACCTTTCTTCTTATAGCTCTCTATGTTTTATCTAACGGTTTGAGTTCTCAAAATAGTTGGTATTGATCTCACAAAATTTGCCATACCCCATGAACTTCACAAACTAAATAAGACACGAGCAAAAAGTTAGGGTTAGTGATCCAAACATATAACTCAATCTACATTTGATACCGCATGAACATGTGCCGTGTACCTAATTCACTTGCACAATCTGCCTTTTGATATATATCTCTAAGCTAGTTCAGGAGAACACAAGGAGATTCAACTTCTCAGGTTCTTCGTGCAATTGGGAAAGGAATATCTTTTGGATTTCCTACGTTTTCGATCTATTTTCTTTAGTTTATGTCTCGCCTATAGTATTATAGTTTTTATTTGACAGGTACTCTCACTACTCCTCGCCACATCTGGAGCTATACTATCAATCAAAACCTTCGAAAATTCATTCGACAACCAGCATAAGAGAATTGGCCTCATTCTCTATGTAGCCATTTGGGTACAAGCCTTGACTGGACTCCTGAGACCCCGTAGGTAATATACTTTCTCTGATGATGATATGATGAAAATTGTTGGAATTGATTAACAAAGTTGATTAATCTATTAAATGCACGATTTCTTAATCTGACAAAGGCAACATCTTTAACTATGAAATAATTTTATGTACGAATCTAATAACTAAATACTCGAATTTTCTAACGTTTCACCCTAAATATGAGTCAAATAATATTGCAAGAAGTCAAAGTAAAAAGTAGAAGTCAGCCATAAGCAAAAAGGGTCACTTATTTTACTTCAATTTTCATCAAAAAGTCTTAACTTTCGGTTTTCCCAAAGGTCATCAACAATAAGTTGCCAAAGTGATTCATTGAAAGCGAAAGCAAAAAGTTGAATTGCCTGATTGAAAAAATTGAAAGCAAGTCTTGAATAAATGTAAAGACAAATGAGATACCTTTGATTTAATTCACTCACTGTATTTTGTATATATTACATAAAAGGAGTTGTAATTAAGTTTCGTAGTCTCACTTTCAAATGTCATTGATCCGTCTTTCACATGTACGCCAAAAAATTTAAACAAAAATAAATTGGGAAAATTTTATTGTAAGCATCAAATATTATGTGGGAATGTGATCGAGTTCTAGACCTTTTAATTGATACAATTAAGTCTTATATCTTCACTAAAAAGTACAGTACCATTCCCAAGTTTTGTATTTGGAATAATCAATCCTAAATCAATGTTGAGAAATACAATTTAATGCCACCATGCATGCAATTTTTAGTACTATCTGTGGAAAGGACGAATTGCACACTTTGAAAAATGTTTAGGACTAGATTGAACAAGTTAAAAGATTTAGGATTTTAAATGCACTTTTAAAAAAAAAAATCAGTATTAGCCTCGCATTTCTTGGCAAAAAAGAATTCCGCTTGTCACGAAAAGGGGTCTTCCTTATATGGTTTACGATAAAATTGAATTTACTCTTTAACTCGATAATCATAAAGGGATTACAAATCCATCTCGGGGACTTTTATAAACTTCCCCATCCCAATTGTCATATAAAAGTAGTCTGGAATTCCTTTAATCCTTTGCTAGTGTCATCTTAACATCCTTTACTAATACCTTTTTTCCCACCATGAATCAACGGAGGGGGACTAAAAGGAGAAGCACTTGGTATTTCTTGCATTGGATTCTCGGAACAGCCGTTTCACTCCTGGGGATCATCAACATCTACACCGGCATAATGGCCTTTCACGACAAGACATCGAGAGCTTCGTGGGTGTGGAACATCCTCTTCACCGCTCAAGTCTCTCTGATCGCCTTCTTGTATCTCTTCATAGATAAATGGGACTACATGCATAGACAAGGCGTGACCCCGGATAACGGCCCAACCACACCGTCAACTAACAGTTTAACGAGCTCCCAGATCGGGAGCCGCAAGGAGTTGGTGCTCGTATCATGTTCGAAACAAAACGCTCTCAAGAACTTGTTCGATTAGTCCGCACACTGACATCGCCTGAACCATCGAGTTCGACAGGTTTTACATGAAATTTGTCGGATTCAATAGTTACAATCCATTTAGATAGATACATCAGCACATTTTTCTTTCTCTTGTTTGATTTTTCATTTTGCTTTGTTTCTGGGAGCATCGACCCTAATTTCTTCTCTTTGATTATTTGCTCTCTACAATAGTAAATTTGTTTTACGGCTCGAACTCCTAAAAGACTCTCTTAAAAGTTCGAAAAATTGCACGAATGCGACTCATTTGCATCTCACGATGCACACAAATCCTTGGAAGCAGAGGAACTATAATTATTCAAGGGTTTTTTTTTTGTGTGTTGGATGAATTCACATGTATCGGATTCGTGCAATGTGTGGTCCCATGTATGATATTTGTTTGAATTGGGGAATTCAATAGTACCAAATGATGCCATGGTGTCTGTCTATATTTGAGATATTCTTCTGTATTGATTCCTAATTAGGTTTTGCTAGCATAATGGTTTTTGGGCCACAGTAAGAGTAATATGTTGTGTACTACAAATTCTTGAAGAAGTGGACCCCATAATAATTTATAATTATTTGTTATCTATTTGTTTTGTGATCGTGAACATGCTGTTAATTTCTGAGTTGATTAAGGATCGTCACTTAATTATTTCTCTTACTAATTTGTGTTTAGAGATTTTCTTTCTTGTGGACAATCATGGGTTCAGATATGGTAAGCGTCACGTGATAGCGGCAAGACGTGCGCGACAATGAAGCAATCGGAATTTTAGCATTTTGTGTTATAGTTACCGAATTTGAGTGATACTTTATTACAAAGCTATGATGAGATGCTTGACGTGGAAATGTATTTGCTTTATCAGATAGCAAATCAAAAGAACTATATGATTTTCGCCACTAGTCATTTCTTAGGTCAATTGAGAACCTTCAATCCTAGGTACCGGGAGGAAATCGGCTAGTCATTTATAGATCAATTGGTTATGAAAATTAAATATCTAGGTCGAAGGTCCGGTTTCACGCAGGGGAAGAATTGGTCTAGGTACCACATTCCTTATGTAAGTTCTTCCACGGAGTATTATGGAATCTCTTAATTTGTATATATGAATAATTTTCTCTTGAGTATTTCAAAATTGAAAATAAAAACTTCACCATCCACCTTCATGTGAACCATTTATGAGACTCAATTCTGTCGTGACGTGCGTGATTAGTGCTTTTTTAAAAATATGAAATGTGTACAAAAGCAAATTAAACAAATGGATAAATCCAATTCATAACAAAGAACAAGCCCAAATAGACTTGCATCCAATGACAAACAATAGTCAATATAACCCTGTATATGCATGCAAGAACTGCGTCCGAATGCTAATTGGCTCACTAGAATGAATTCAATCTCATCAAAATAGCGTTCAATCAAATGGGAAGGAATCCAATGCCAATCCAATTAACACACCTCATGTATACATATAGCGTGCGAGTATGAACTACTAACGAGGATGAATCAAATCCCAACAAAGCAGCATTCAATCAAACAGGACATAAGCCCAATGCCTTTAGGGGACACCCAATCCTATAAAAGCAGTTAGATTTCAATATTAGTGTGCAATTTATGACGGCATGCACTTCGCAACAATGTGCAATTTCAATATCTAGGCGCTTTTATGTATTTGAATGACATTCAAAGTCATATCAAAATGACATGAGCCTTGCGAAGCGTGATTGACGACTACTGTATGCACTTGGCCTAGATGAAAGAATTGACTTTGACTTATTGCCCGCGCGAGGCCAACCCACTAGTTGATGGGCTCGTTAAAGCCCATTGAAGGAAATACCTCCCCTCTATTTGGTTGTCTATTTCCCCCTCACCCTTTTGGAATATCTTTTGTTTCGAGACTCATCTATCATGTGCCGATGGTTTGTGTCAATGAATGAAAGTGTCCTTTTCGACCCAAAAAAATGACATTCAAAGTAATACCACAACGACATGGGTTATCATGACATGCTCGATTCAAAAAATTTATTCACAATGCAGAGCTGTGCAATCATCTAAGTTCACGTCTCAAATAAGCATTCAAAAAATCAATCAATGATATTTAATGCATGGAGGTCAATTTTTGAAAGATAGAGTCGATTTCATAAGAAAAAAAAATATATTTCAGTAATTTAAAAAAAAAGTATCAAGAGATAATCACATGAATGAGGTCCCGGTTCTCAGTTCTTGAACCAACGGTCCTCATGGGTCTCCACCCCTCCGGTTCGTCGGCCTGATTCCCTCTGTCTATAGGTCGGCTAATTTGACAAGGTTTTCTATAGATGCAAACACTTCAATATATTCTCCTCAAGTCCCTATAACTTCATATTTCAATTAATCAATATAGCAATACTTAGATAATCATATAATAGCTACGCTAATTTTAGCAGCACAATGACTTCTTTTTTTTTTTCCAAAATCTAAATTTTAAGTTTAGAGGAGTAACAATTATATTATTCAAATGTCTAAGCTAATTTTGACATTATGACTACTAATTTTAGAAAGAAAAAAAGGAATTTAGGCCCTAGCTGATCGCCCAACGTTTGCATACCCTCCTTGGACCTACCTTCATTCGCTGGAATTCCCTGAAAGATAAAACCAACGATCCGTTTGTTTTGCGAAAAATGAATGATTTGGAAAATATTTTCCTCAAAATGATCGAATGTATTGCTTAAATAATTAGTCAATGAAAATTTTTCCATTACCAATAACAATTTATGTCTAAATATTTTCATGAACAATGGAATTATTTTTATTTCATTCAATTTTTGTAAGCAATACAAACGATTATTTTTAGAAAAATATTTTCCAAATAATTCATTTATCGAGAAATATTTTTTAAGCCAAGGCTTATTTGGCGTTGCAAGGGCTTGCATAGGGCCTGACCCCGCACTATGCGGCGCCAGGGCTGCCCTAGAATTTACACATAATGGAAATTTTTTCATAGAATTTAATTTCTGCATTTAAATTACTATTATTCTTTTCCTTGCATTCTTAGGTTAATATTATCTAGTAAGAGCATCATATTTTCCTTTTTAATAAATTCCTTACTTATGAAATATAGCATTGTGACATATTTTTTTTCCTCTAATTGATCTTTGGACTACTAAAACTATGGTTTTTTATTTAGTTAAATATCATAGTTGTTCTTGTTTATAAGGTGTCAGAACTTGATCACCAAGCAAGTAATTAAAAAACTGTAAATTGTTAGAAATTTCGTTAGATAACATCCCCAAAAATAAGATAATAACCATATTGTAAAAAGTAACACTCCCAACCATAGTCTAACATAGCAAACAAGATAACACCCAAAACAACTTAATCTTCTTCTATTTGGCAAGACCAATCTTTTCATGGAATTGTTCATATAGGACGTCCTACATCAAATCCCCTTTGAAATCAAATTGTGGAAGCATAAATTCTTTATGATTTCACGAGAATATCATGTGAAAAAGGAATAATGACACAAACAGTTCATGAAGTTTGGCCCAATATGCAATGTGGTCCCTGAACTTATAATTTGTTCAATGTAGTCCCTAAACTTTAACTTAATGTTCAATGTTGTTCTTAAACTTTTAATTTGTTTAATGTGATCTTTGAACTTTTGGTACATGTTCAATGTAGTCCCCAAACTTGAATTAATGGAAGGACTACATTGAACATTTTCATATAGTTCAAGGACTAAATTGAACATGTACCAAAAATTTAGGGACGACATTAAACAAACTAAAAGTTTAGAGATCGAATTGCACTTTGGGTTAAGGTGTAGAGATCACATTGCACATTAGACTAAAGTTCAGGACTATTGTGTCATTTTTCCTATGGAAAACTATTCTTCATCTCCTTTAATTTGGGAACTTCTCCATTTAATTCAACCGACAAGTGAGTAGGACTAACTTTGTTTGCTTTTCCACGCTTGGACACACTTTTACTGGAATGATAACTGCTCATAATCCAGTGGAAGGAATCGCTGCTCTTTGTTGTCTTCGATAATTATCTCGAATCGTATCCCACATGTAATCGTCCTTAGGTTGTCATCGCTGTTGCCACTTTCAGCGCCACTACCATCGTGGCTTGTCATCATCAAATTGCTAGCAAGGAAAATTACCAAAAATGTTTTAAATATATTGCAATTTTGTCAATTCAGCTATAAACCTTCTCTTTTTTTGTTGCCATTTTTTTTGTTCAAAACAAAATTTTATTGAATATGAAAATCTCAACTTCCATGGCCCACTACCGGGGCATCAAAACAGAGTAAATCCCAAAGGGGTAAGGGGGGTTGGGCTACCCAATTAGAAGGAATTTAGACTCTATTAGACTCTCTAGTACAGGGAGCTAAAGTAATATTATGTTTTATAGCTAAAGGAATTTGGGCTCTCTAGTACAGGGAGCTAAAGGAATTTAGACTCTATTAGACTCTCTGGGCCTTACTAATCTAGTCAGCTACTCTATTAGACTCTCTAGTACAGGGAGCTAAAGTAATATTCTTGAACCGGCCTATGACCCGCCTGACTTCTAAGATAAGTGCGTCACTTCCCAAACTCTACACTCTGAAATATTCACTGAGTTAACTAAAGTCAAATAGTTAGACTCTAGTACAATCTCTTCGTCTCTTTTCACTTCGAGGAGAGAGAGAGAGCTGCTAGCAACCCTAGGGTTTCGGTGTGTATTGCAGATGACGCCGAGGCCAGATTTGCTACTCCGTCCACCAAAATTCCGTGCATGTCTCGGACAATGCACGTGAAGGCTCCAACAGTCGACCCCTTGACCCCCTCGACAAAGGATCCATCAAAATTTGCCTTTAAAGTTATGATCTTTGGAGGCGTCCAACGTCGAGGTAGGCTTCTTCTTCTACTATGGGATCTTGTTCTTTGCCGTTCCATTTCCACCAATTACTGAGCATATTCTGTGTCGATTCAATAAAAAATTCTGGATTTAGGTGTCGGTTCCAAAAAATGGAGTCGTTCTCACCCTCCATATAAACCAAATGACTCATGCAACAAACTCGAAGGACGGTGAGTTTTTTGCTCTGTCCCCGAGTTTTAGTAACAATTCTTCAATTCTTGACAAACCTACTCGCGAAATTTTAATTTTTAATGCAGGATTCGCCCAAATCTATGAGGTCCAGGGGCAAAGCAAAAACAAATGTTCTATTGTCTCTGGTTCATATTTGCAAAATGGGCATAAATCTTCGGGTAATATTTTCCTTCGTTGTGATCGCATTTTGACACAAACTCCACAAAAAGATAATGACTTTTTTTTTGAGGGAGGGGGGTTCATATGCCAAATTCTGTTCCACAACTCCTGGGGTGGTTGAAATGATGTTGATGAATGCTCTCTTGTAGTTTGCGAAACGAATTGTCGATCCTTGTTATATGCACTCTTAACCGTGAAATGACCATTTTCGGTACCTATCACCA